AATGATAACGCAGAACATTCACAACAGTTTCTTATTGACCGTTTGCGTTGTTCGGTCGAGTTTTCTTTTTTGTGTCAATTGAGTGAGTTTATTCGCCTTATCTCTTAAGATTTTCACTTTCACAAATATATTTATAATATTTTCTCTTCAATGTCAAATGTATCTCTTGAGACGAATTCGCGAAGAGATTTCGATATGCAATAGCTCAAACGGAGATCATCCGAGATGGAATTGTTTCGTTGGTCACCACCTACAATATAATCTCTTTCATATGAGGTCACTCGGTGATCAATTTGATGTATTTTTTTGCAGATCTCATTTGGCCACAGACAACCAATCACCCTACCAGCTCCAGCATAAAGTGATTGAGTGTGACTGATCAGTGTGGGTTTTGCGATAGCGCAGAAGAGATTCCGCACTGGCGTAACAATGGCGTACACTCATCAAGAGATCTACGTATGGGATTATTTCTCAGTGCTGATATCATTCCTGATCTATTGTACGATCGTTTGGCTATTCGCCTTCTTAATCTTACAAAATGTGCTCATACACAAAGACGAACCAGCCGTTCAGCCACCTTTCGGTGGCATCCGAAAGGCGATTTGTAGCAAACAGCGATCAAGACAGAACCGATAAAGAAGTGGTGATGCACGATGCAAGGATATAATTTGTTTGGATTACTTTTTATTGATACTATTGTTACAACTACTATATTATGACAATGAAATGCACACTGGATGCTACAAAAACTCTTCATATTGCAATGATGGCACAAATATTCATAGGTTTCTTTGTAATACAATAAAATGGAGTCATTAAAATTCGAGACTTATGTCTTTGACTTCGTAAACTTCCCACTGTCATTGCATTTTGGTAATCACTGAGAATGGACACTAAACTAGTTAAGGTACGTTTTATTATTTGTATTATTATGATAATGATTTGTATACAGAGCTTTGAAGAGCATTAACTTAACGATACAAAACAGCTCAGAATATACCATCTTCATTGGTCTTACTCCATGAATATAAATCAGAAAAATTCAGAAGAAATCAAATATACGTCGAAACATCATATACTTTCNACAGCGACACACAAAAGAACAGTTCCATATTTGCACATGTGAGAAATTTCATGATCATCACCTAAACATCGCCATTTGTTTCCATTAATAATAAGTTAATTCATCAAATAACAAGCAAGAACACACATCAATTCAATAACAGTTGAAGAAGAACAACGCAGAGCCTTGAATAGATTCATAAGCGATATGCCCACAGAAGTATTATAAACAAAATTTTTACCTAACTTCGGAAGGAAAAGTTTGGCTAGATGAACCATCCAAAAACAAAAAGAAAGAAAGACAATCGGAGTTATAACATCGTAACAACAATCCATCACAGCCTAAAAACTTTGGTCTTCCTTAACAATACACCAATCGGATCCATGAATGAGTTTCAGCGAAAAATTTGACTAGTCTGAGCTAAGTGATCGATAATTCACCTGATCAATGATCAATAATTCACTTGGGTCATCATCCTCAAATTCTCAAAATATCATTCCTAGATCTGCCCGTAAGGAGTGTCCATCGAAAATAATGATGGATGGACTAAATAGGTCAATAAACAGTCCACGCCTAGACACAATCAAACTTTTTGGCTTCTCAAACATTAAGTGTAATCCTCCAAAACATTCGATAAATGCTCATTGTGCACTTTTTGAGTGGTACGTCTCTTCATTGGCTTGCGTTTCGGTGGTCCCATAATCTTTCGTTTCGGAGCAAGATCACGCATCGTATCGATTCCGTGCTTCTGCAGATACTCTTCAATCTTCTTCTCGTCCAAATGATCAACCGATGCATTTCGCCAGAGCCCTTTGAATTCTGAAAAACAAAATTCGCCCACAATTTACCAAATTCAAACTTTCAACTGAACTGATTGGACAACTTGATGCAGGCCCTAGTAATTGATAGAATGGAAGCAAAACAAAAGATATAGTTTTCCAATCGAATACCTAAATACTGCACAAGACTTCCTCAACATTCACAGAGAAAAAATTCCTTCAAAACAGTGCAACTGAAGATGAATGGAAACTACTTGAACAACGATACATTACAGATGAGCAGTGTTGGGCAATAGCGCGCTATTCCGCTAGTCCGCTAATAG